AAAACAACACTCTTATATAAAAAAGAGAGTGTAGTTATCTATACTATAATCGACAACGGTTCGATAATTGTATACAACGGAATTGAATCACTATAACCGGCTCTGAAGGTAAGTAAACCATCTAGTTTTGTATTTATATACGTTGTACTCGTTTCTCGAGTTTTGCTAATTATAATAATGAGTTACTTCCAATCAACGAATGTGTTACTCTTACTTCTACACACGAGCTTCGAAATAATAAATTAGCCAGGATTAAAGTGACCTTATTTCAAATATTTGAAATACTACGACAAAAACCTGTTTTTAGGGGACCCCACCCAATCAAGGCAGACAGGAAAGCCCCCTAACTTTTCTCAGTCCCTAAACTGTCAGTTGTGAGGTTTGAGTTTCACCTCTTTGTAAACTTGGAATGATTTTATCTTTTTTGCATTTTAGTTGTTTTAAAACTGATTTCACGGCATTCCTTAAAGTTTTTATCCTCCAACAATAAACTAAAGGGTTAATTGAGCTGTTCAAAAATGTAATCGTCGATGCAAATAGATACGCAGCTTTCACTCTGACCGTGTATCCCCATAATCTGTGTGCTAGCTTAACACAAAGCATCGGTAAAAAGCACAAAGTAAAAATACCAACAACAATTATCATTGTGACAGTTGACTTCTTGAAGCGTAACATATCCCTCAGACGACTAGTTTTCTCTTCAGTTTGCAGTCTTGCGCTTGTACACTCCGCCTGAATTTGTTGTTCATGCATTCTGACACACTTCATGATTTTTACGTTAACCAGATATGTCAACAGCAAACTCAGCGAAATAGTTGTCACTAAAATAGTGTTGTAAAGTTCCGGGCGGAGAAGCAATAGTCGGAACGTAGCCAAGGTGACGAGGAAGATCCAAAAGCTTGATACCACAATCAAAACACGCTTCACAGTTACAATTTCATTGTACCGCAAGTGGAAGTACAGCGCTAAATATCTTTCTATGGTGGCTGCCGCCATCGTGAGTCCGGAAACACCTGCGGTAATGCTTCCAAGAGACTCGGACACTAACCTGGTTATGCAGTACATTCGAAAGTTGTGCAAAATCTCGCCGATCTTGTGCACTACAAAGCAAGGCTGCGTCAACAAGCCAACCGTTAAATCGCTAACAGCAAGACAACAGATGAGTGTATTAGAAGGCGTATGAAGCGATGGAGATCTCCAAACTGTGAGAATAACAACGGCATTACCGGCAGTGGCTGTGAAAGAGAACAAGCTATTTACAACTGCAGTTAAGATGTGTGTTACGTAAAGAAACTGTGTTGTATGGAAATTCACGTCGAATAACAAGCATTCTTTTTGCATAGAAAATGAAGTTGAATTTGAATCGAGCATTGAAGAATTACAGGAGAAGTTTGTTTCCGCCATTTCCTGCATGCATCTCTACTGACTGCAGTTCTTAATAGCTATCTTCAGTTGGTTAAGTTCTTCGAAACCAAAATATCACGTGTCGATCGTGCTTTTGTTTCGTTTTGCATTGATTTATTGACGTTAGAAAGCTCTCGAAAATAAGAACAATTAGTTAAAACTATCAGCAATTGTTAAGAAAATTTAAAATTAAAGAGAAAAAGAACTATGATATCTCGTTAAGTCAATGTGGTGGTTTCTATCTCTACCACTGCCGATTTTACAGTATCAGAGGCTAAATAAAGAAGCCCAAATTTAGAAAGCGAAATATTTTGGGCTGTAATCAGTTTACTGAACCATTCTTTCAGTAAATCTTGACCTTCATTAAAGTTTCATAAACCAGATTAACTTTCGCTACATGTGTTTCAAGTAAGGCGGAAGAGATGGTTGTTTTTTTGCAACTTAGTAACATTGATAATAGTCTATGATAGCTTGAGGTTTTAGTAATTTTCAAATTTTTAATTTCGCAGATTAATTTACCACTCGCCGTTCAACGCGTGGATGCAGACACCTGAGTTCGTCGAAAAGTCTGGCAATAGCTAGATATTAAACGAGGCGCGAAAATAAGCATCCCAAAGAAGGCTATGTTACCTTGTACTGAGTCAAGAGCGCCTTATCGTCGTTTCCAAGTAACACGTTTTTCAATAAGGGCGAAATAATAACGTGCTACAAGTTTCAGGACGTTCGCAAGTAATCTGGGTTTACTACATTTTCAACTGTGGAGGCGAAATTTCCTCATAATACATAATTTAGATCCTGCTGATTAGTGAAGCAGTGAAGTGTATAGTTGTGTAGTCTACAGTAGGGTATAGATTAAACAAATTTAATAATAGTATTGATTGGTAAATTCGTTGTGGTTTTATAACGAGAACTTGAGAGATAAAAGTATTGCCGCGGTTGAAATTTCTTAGCTCACAAGCTGTGAAACTATTATAATAGTTATAGTTTTTATGAATTGGTAACTTTCCTGCACTACATGATAAGGCACAATTGGCTACCTTCTTGCGAATACGGGAATTGTTGGATCCTAACAATGCAAAAAGAAGACGGATTTAAGTGCATTCATCTTCCCTATTTCAATTACTCCCATGGGGGTCCTTCTCAGTTAGAAATCCCTGGCCATATTTACGGCTTCGGCTAGATATAAATGAATGATACACTCACCAAAATATATAAGAAGTCGTGTCAAAAGAATCCAAAAAGAAAGCGTTGTATTATGAGTATAATTTTTTACCATTCTTTCAGACATAATCTTAACCTTCATAAAAGTTTTATAAACAGATCAGAGTAAGTTGTGTTTAACGCAGGAGATATTGTTCTTCATCAATTAATTTAAATTGATAATAGTGTCAGAGCTCAAGGGGAGTTAAGTAATTTTTCAATTTTTTAATTTCTCAGATTTATTTACCACTCGCCGTCTTGGGGGTGACATTTTCCCGTTTTAAGGGCGAGGTCGCTGACACCATGTGGTCATACTGTCTGAGGTGTCAAGCAAAAGAATTAAAGTGCACAAAAGGAGCATCCCGAAGAAGACGATCCCACCTTGGTCGTCGTCTTCAAATACAAAATAATTAAGAAGTCGCGAAATAATAACCTGCTACATCAGTGTTTCACGACGCTTAGAATTAATCTGGGTTTATTTCCGTATCAAGGCAGGTGTCAAGGGAAGAACTTTAAGATGAAATTCATTTGTAGATTAAGTAATTTTAATTTTCAGTGGACAAAAACCTGGTACCAGAATAATTTCAAGCATATTGAATTGGTTTTCACACTTTTCAAGGGCTATAAATGCAACCTGAAGTTGTATGAAAGAAAAGGTTCTTATCGGAGCCCGAGAAAAAAACTTTTTTTGAAGCCTCATGTATAATAATCAAATTTCACAAAATGAAATCTTCAGGCATGACGAATTTACCTGTGTTTTCTCAATTCCTGTGAAATTTGAAATTTATTTTCTCGGTTCTTTAGTGTTATTACAGATAACTAATTATATCTATAGCTCTTGAAAAGTATACAAAAGAATGCGATATGGCTTAAAATATTCTGGTCGAAGGTTTTTGTCCCCTGAAAATTAAAGTTACTCAATTTCCTGCTGGATTCCATCTTAATTCCTCACTCATAAAGTAAATCCTGTAGGCTATAGAGTGCACATACCGTAAAATTCCAAAAAGAAGCCCTTCCATGTATAAGCCGCCCAAACTCGTAACGCAAAAAAGCTCCCGTTAAATCGCCCCTCCAAATATAAGCCCCTCCGGGGGCTTGTACTTGGAAATTGCCCTTAGAGAAACGGTAAATTTACTTCCAACTATGAGGCTAGCCCAATCGATTTTGAAACGCAAATTTCCCTGCGTACATAAGCCTCTCCGAGTATAATCCCCTCCAAAAATAAGCAACTCAAAAAGGGCCTTTGAAAAATATAAGCCCCGGGGCTTACTTTCGGAATTTTACGGTATTAAGTAGTGTAGTCTACAGAAGGCCGGTATTGATTAAGGTAATTTGATAATTGCAATAAAGTTTTATTGGCTTTCGGTTGCGGTATTGATGACAACTTTTAAGAAGCAAATATTATAGTGAAAATTTCCCAGGCCACAAGCTGTCATTGGATTGACATGAAAAACACTAAAAAGGCACAGGTGCATGGTGTCTTATATACAAAGATAGAGAGACTGACTTACTTTGGACTCATCAAAGCGTGCGAAATAAAGTTTGCGTATATGAAAGAATGATCAAACAGTGGTTGTCGAACACGCATAGTCCCTCATCGTTTTGCTGTTCGTTATAGTTATAGATCGCATGGAGAAATACTCATATTTCTGTCCATTTCCTAGCCATACTCGATTGACTTTTTTAATACAATGACAATAAAAACAGATAAAATTTTTTGAGGAGGTCTATAGTAATTATTTTAAAATTGGGGTGGAGATGGAAGGGAGGGATTTCCAAACTTCCAGACTGCCGTACCATGAATTCCCGGCTCCCGCTCCAAGATTTTTCTTGGCTTCCTCCCTTAGCCATTTTCGATTGCGACTAAAATATTTAAAGCATTGTTGCGTATAATTTCCCTTTCTATTTCTCCTGCTTCCCCCCCTTTAAGAATTCCCACCTCCTGCCCTTCCTCCTGTACCCGTCACCTCCCGTATTTACCAGGGCTCTCCCCGCCTGTCCTCCCCGACTTAATTTTCCATCCTTGATTGACCAGGAAACTGTTTTACTTGAGTGGAAATTTGGGCTTGTCTTGAATGGGCATGCTGTATATCCTGCATTTCTCCCTGAACCTCGCATGGTGGCAAAGAGGTTCTGTTTGGTAACATTAATGATAAAACTAATTAAACAAGTAATGTTTCTTCTGTCCATGTATTCATTATCTAACAGAAAGCGGAGATAGTGACGGTCCGCCAAACTATATTGCGGGAGTGTAAAAACTGCCGGTGAGAGTACCCCTGTCACAGAAAACAAATATTCCTCGGGGGACTGAACAGAGACTAACAGATCGAGGCTGAACAGGCGGACATTTCCTAATGCAGATTTGTTCATGTTTTACGCACAGGCAAGCAGCGAACAGGCGAGAACCTATACATTCTACTGAAAGAGAAACATCTGCGATGAACGGCTTTATAATGATTTTTAGTAATGAAAACATCGTTAGCAATGCGTCACATTATCAATAACCTTAGGCAAGCTCTGAGATTCATAAGTGTTCAATTTAACCAAAAGAACAGGTGCGAAAACAAGAATTATTTACATGAAAGATTGGCTAATGATCCGCTGAAAGCAGTAGTATCTATTGTAAAGAGGTTCGGGTGGGGGTTGAGAGGGTGGCGGCTGGCTTTGGAATGCAGCCGTATCTCGTCGCTCCTCACCACTAGGAACGTCCCAACCGCTGTGTCGTCATCAGTCTTCTCACCGGCAACAAGTTTAGCAAAAAACCAACAGGAATAGATTGGTAAAAAAATAATTTTCCACGTGTATCGCGCTTCTTTGTACATTTCTTATCCGTCACTGCACGACTACGACGTGAAAATGCCTTGATTTCGCGTTTTGTAGAGATCTTGAACACAAGACAACGACTTTCATTTTCTTTTTCTGACCTTCGATACAGTCTTTTAGAATTCAGCTCCCGAAAAATTTGCCAGCATTTGACGACTTGAACGAGATGGAATAAGCGCCAATAAAGTTTGAAGCAGCCCAGTCACTTTTTAAGTGACTCATTCGTAGCCGTCGCCATTGTTTTTTCTTAACCTCTCTATTAACGAGTGATGCGCAGGGGAGAACCAGGAACGATGGAAAGAAGGAAAGAGGGGAGTCTCCACCTTTCGTTTTCCTCCTTCCCATCTCGCGCTCCCTTCGGTCACGCCTCTAGCGTTTCGTCCTATCTCGTCCCCCGCGTGCAATCCAAGTAAAGACCACGGGGCACCAGTCAATCCAGGGCAGAAACCTTTATCAGCCCTGACTCAATTACCTAGAGGCGAAGCGCGAGGAGAAGCAATTGTATTGCAGTCGCAGGCTAGGTGGGGGCATGGTGATGCTCTCTCGAAAATTTTTTTCAGATATACAGTTTCCAGCATTCTTAGGGGTCAATCAAAGCCGATTTTTATTACTGAAATCTTTCTACTTTTGTTCCCTTTTGAAACTTATGTGTCCAAAACAGGAGCCCAGATATTCGGGCTCCTGGTCCTAAACTACTCACTGTCCTTTATTTTTCAAGTTCCGAGTTGCTGGATTATTTTCGACTGCACATACGCGTCTAGCGTAATGGTAATATCGAACGTTCAAGACTATTTTTGCCTTCGCAAAAGGAGAACCATTTACCCAATGTCAGATCCAAAATAAGAGATCAAAATCTCTATTCTTCGCTTCCTTCTATCGCCCAAACAAGACCGATATAAGCAGTCTACATGAACTTGACTCATCTTTATTCAAATTAGGCGATAGATTAAATACTAGCAATGTAATCGTGGCGGGAGATTTCAACGCCCCGGACCTCAAATGGAACGACCTTGAATCAACAAATTGCTCCTTCAATTCTGAACAGCTACTTGAAATCATCGATGAACATGGACTTACCCAACTAGTAAAGGAACCTACTAGAGATGACAACATTCTCGATCTTGTGTTGACAAATAATGTCAATATCATCAACAATGTTAGGGTAATCCCGGGAATAAGCGATCACGATATGGTTCTTTTTGAAGTGAACTTGGCATGTAGAAAGAAAAAGCCAGTGAGACGCAAGATTTATATGAGGAAAAGGGCAGATACCACCCGTATAAAGAAAGAATTACAAGACTTT